GAAGTGGCAGTTGGCACAGACAGAGAATCCTGGCTGTACACCTGCGGCAATGCTGCTTCTAAAGCCCTAGAGTGCCAACCAGCCTGATTTGCAAGACTGTAGAATGTAGAAGCCTTCCGGACCCCAGTCTAAACCCTAAACCCTACACCCTAAACCTGAACCCTACAACCTAAACCCTACACCGCGGCTCGCCTCCCGTGGGCTTCTGTAGGCCGCAGGTCGTGCTGAGGAAGGAGAGCCCTTAAACCAGAAAATAAAAACCTAAACCCTAAACCCTAAACCCTAAACCCTAAACCCTAAACTGCCGAGAGCGCCGCTGACCATTTACATGGGCGCTCGAGGCTCCGACCGAGGCCCCCGGTATACGAGGACTGTAGTGACGCCGCCCCGCGAATGACTTCTTTGCCGTCAGGCAATAAAGAAGAACCCCAAACCCCTCACCATCAAGGTGTTTTTGTGCTTTTTTGGGGGTCTGGGGGGGTGGGGCCCCCAGCTGGCAGATTCCAGGGACCCGGGGCCAGCCACCCGGCCAATTTCCTCGAAAAGTGGTCGATTTTGCGGGCCGTTTTGCCCCCGCCCCCTGGCCCCCTGGCCCCCCCCGCTGGCGCCCTGGCCTGGCCCTCCGGCCCTGGCCCCCCTGCTTCCTGACCCCCGACCCCCCTGGCCCTGTCCCCTGCTTTGCCCCTGCCCTGCCCTGCTTGGCCTTGCCTCGAGCAACCCTCGCTGGGTGCGAGAAGTGAATTGTTTGTTGGGAACGCTTGCTTCTCGTCGAGCGGCCGGCACAGGCCGCGAGGACCCACAACCCGACACTAATCCATTGTAGCTGTGTTTTGCTGTCAAAAAGCGCATTTATGGTGAGCCGCGAGGGGGGGAAGAAGAGAGCAGGAAAGCCCCCCTTGAGGGGGGTTGGGGGTGAACCCTAAACCCTAATTGAGAATAGTTTGGGTGGTTGGGGTGGGACTACATGCTGACGCAAGCGCGCGATTAGTGGGTGCGCCCCTATTCCTAAAGCAAAAGGCGCACCCACCGCGCGCACACTGTCTACACACCCTAAACCCTAAACCCTAAGCCCAAGGCCACCCCCTCCACCGCCCACTGCGCCGCGGGCTCCTCCGCTGCCTCCGCCACCTCCACCCGCGGAGTTGGCGGCGCTGCCGGACATGCTTGGGCCCTAGAATTAGGAACCCAAAAAGAACATAAGCATAAGCATTTTATAGGGATATCCCTGCCTTATTGGGCTTCATTACAAGGGGATTTATATGGGATATCCCTATCCAAAGTTTTGCTTATGTGCTTTTTTGGGGCCCTGGAAGCTGCGCAGAGGTTGGGGTTCCGGGTTTTAGGGGTAGGTTTGGGGTTTAGGGGTTATAGGGGTTAAGGTTTAGGGTTTAGGGTTTAGGGTTTAGGGTTTAGGGTTTAGGGTTTAGGGTTTAGGGTTTAGGTTTGGGGTTAAGGGTTTAAGCTTGGGGTTTTGGGTTCTACATGGCGATCTGACGGCGTCATGCTTCCGAGACTTCCTGCCTAGAGCCTCGTTGGGTCTTCCTGGGTTTATGCGCAATACATAGGCTGGACTGCAGACTGTGCGTTGACTGTCATCCAGGACTTGGACTGATCAACTGCAGCGCAGGCCGAAATCAGTTGCCACTCAAGCTTACTGTAAGGGCCTTAATAATGACCTATACTATTTTGGGGGTTCCGTATTGTAACTATAGCATAATGGGCCCCAAAACCCCATTCTAAGTATTAATCAAGGCCCCTATATTAATCCCTCGCACTCCTGATGGTTTAGGGGCCATCGCTGCCATAGCTCCGGTGCTCTTCTGTGCCAAACTCACGAGCCGAAACCCGACAACCTGAACCGGGCAACCCCAAAACCCAAGCCCGGTGTATGTGCAAATCCTAAACCCTAAACCCTAAACCCTAAACCCTAAACCCTAAACCCTAAACCCTAAACCCTAAACCCTAAACCCTAAACCCAAAGCGGCGAACCCTCAGACCGGAAAAATCTAAGCAAGGCCCCAAACCCGGAACGAGAAAAAGGCCCCTGAGCTTGAGGAAAGCATAGAAGGACTGCGCCCCTATGCCTAAACCCTTAACCCTAAGCCCTAAGCCCTAAACCCTAAACCCTAAACCCTAGACCCTAAGCCCTAAGCAGAGAATCTCGAAGCCCGACCTTCCTGAACAGCAAAAGGCTCCTAATGTAGGGGCCTAAAATAATTACCAAGACTATTTTGCGGGTCCCCTGTGATGATTATAGAAAAATATACCCCTCCTTTTTATGATTATAGTAGAATATACCCCTCCTTATTATGATTATAGCAGAATGTACCCCTCCTGATTATGACTATAGTAGAATCATACACCCCCGATCTTAGACAAGGCTTGTGATCTGCGCGCCCAGGCCCGACGTGAAGCCGGAGGCCAGGTTCGGAGATGGGCTACCCAGAGAGCCCGAGCGGGTTTAGGGTTTAGGTTTTTTTTAGGGTTTAGGGTTTTTTCAGGGTTCAGGGTTTAGGGTTTAGGGTTTTTTTTTAAGGGTTTAGGGTTTTTTCAGGGTTTAGGGTTTTTTGTTTAAGGGTTTAGGGTTTTTTCAGGGTTCAGGGTTCAGGGTTTAGGGTTTAGGGTTTTTTGTTTAAGGGTTTAGGGTTTTTTCAGGGTTCAGGGTTTAGGGTTTAGGTTTTTTTTAAGGGTTTAGGTTTTTTTTAGGGTTTAGGGTTTAGGGTTTCGGGTTTCCCCTTATTACAGGGGCCTTAACTTAATGATTAGAATAGGGTTTGGGGTATATTATACTATGATTATAATCTGGATCCTCTCATAATTCGAACAGGTTTTGCGGTATTTTCTACCATAGTTATAACAAGGGGGCCCCCCAAAACCCTATTCTGACTATAAAAAGGCCCCCATACATTAAGCGCTCAACCCTGAACCCGACATGAACAACTCTGCCTAAGTCTCCTGCGAAAGGCGGGTGTAGGAGACATGTCAATGTCCCGAACTTGGTTCGGGATCTTTTAGGATTTACACCAAAACGTGATTTAACGCTTGTTGCCTCCTTCGGTTTGGATCGGCCCCGAGAGCCCATGATCCGAGCCATGTCGCTCCCCTAAACCCTGCACCCTTAAATTCAGGTCTTAGGATGAATGGGATTGTTTCTTTGGGCAAAGCTGTTGCAATTCAAAGAGCTCATAGACTCAAGCACTTCCCCCTTGGAGGTTCAGGTTACATATTATAACCCAACCTCCAAGCACAAACCCTCACGCCCCAAACCCTTAAACCCCGCATCCGTAGACCTCTGAGCCCTAATATAGGGGCCTGAATAACTTAATAGTTACCTATATTATTTTGGGGATTCCTGGATTCCTTATTGTAGTTATAGTATAATATTCCCCAAAACCCTATTCTAATCATTATGCCCCCTACATTAGGCTTCTAAACCCCTAAACCCCTAAAAGCCTAAACCCTAAACCCTAAACCCTAAACCCCTAAACCCCTAAATCCCTAAACCCTAAACCCCTAAACCCCTAAAATCCTTAACCCTAAACCCAAAACCCCGAAAGGATCTGCCAACCTTGGGCCGATCCCTGAGTTTGCGGGAGCAGAGATCTTTCTGGGGTTAGGGTGGTTTAGGGTTTAGGGTTTAGGGTTTAGGGTTTAGGGTTTAGGGGGTCAAGCGTTCCCGCGGTATCTCTGGGTTCTGGTTTAGGGTTTAGGGCCAGTTTAGGGCTTAGCGGTTTAGGGGTTTAGGGCCAGTTTAGGGCTTAGCGGTTTAGGGGTT